CTTCACTGCCTCCCTGAGTTTGCTCAGTTTCATGCTCATTGCTTCAGTGATGCTATCTAACCATCTCATCCTCTGCCGTCCTCTTCTCCTTTTGCCTTACAATAAAGTAGAGCTAATACTTCTGGCTGTGCTTCTTGTCTGGACTACCTCGCAAGGCTGACATCAATCCTGCAAGTCTCAAAGTACATCTTTCCAGCCCAAGAAACTAGGGAGGGTCCTTTCTGAGAAGTTTGTCACACCCTCCTTCCTTCTGCGGGATCAACTGACGTTTATCTAACCATTGCCCTGGCTGCGGCTCTTTCCCCTGGCCCCAAGGTCAATCCCACATCCTGTACTATTGTAAAGAGATACGTGTGTTTTTCTCTCAGTTGGAGTGCAAGAAGGGGTAATAGAGAGCACACCCAGCAGCCTTTGCGGTGTCCCTTATTTGGCAACCAACAAACCAGCTAGAAACCTCTCGGCACTTTGGCAGCTGTCTAAACAGAAGCAGTTCATATAAATTTAATAAATAAATAAATAAAACCCTTTTCCAAACACAGTAATCACAGAGTTCTCTTTAGCAAGATTTATTAAGATGAAAGTTACAAGAATTCCAGCAACTGAACTATCTCCCCTGTAGAAACAAGCTTTCTCTGGGACCGTTGCAGAGGGGTGATTTTCTTACAGCTTTCTGTAATCCAGACAGGAAATGGCTCTTGTTACGACTAACAGGAAAATGTGCAGCTGCCTGTTTACACCAACATCACTTCAATCTTTATCAGTCTGGGAACCAACCATGATAGGACCCCACCTGTCATTTCCAATTGTGTTGATGGCCTTGCGATTTCCAGTGTGGGGTCCATGCACGGGGCCAACATGCTCAGGATCCCTTTCTCGGCACCCCCGAATCTTAGAAGCTGACTTTCATGTTATTTCAAAAAATAACACAACACGAGAAGCTGTTCTGCTGCACAGCAACTTCCTAATCTCAATTACATTCTTTATTTTCAGAGTATATCTTCGCTGTCTCCCAAGCTGTTCTTGGAAAATGAAAGCAGGAGAGGACTGCCAGCCCTCCAAGGGAGACCAAACTTGGAAACCAAAGACATGCAAGCTAATACTACTTTTATTATGTTACAGTAACAGAATCTTGCATGTCTGAATGTGCTTCCCCTCTTCCTGCCTTTATCTTCATGAGAACTAGGGAGGGTCTTGTCTGAGACGCTTCCTCAGGTTACAGTTCTGGCCTGGACTCAGGTTTCTTTTCTCTGGCCGTTGTCTTGGTTGCAGCTCTTCTTCCTGTTCCTCAAGGTTATCCTCGCAGCCCATTGCATCAAGTTTGAATGTGCTTCCCCCCTCCCTCCCTTTATCTAGGGAGAGTCTTGTCTGAGATGTTTTCTCAGGTTACAGTTCTGCCCTGGACTCCGGTTTCTTTTATCAGACCATTGTCTTCACTGCAGCTCTTTCTCCTGTTCCTCAAGGCTATCCCTTCTTCGCATTGCAAGGGCTGAAGCCCAGTTGTATGTTTGCGAAGGTGTCACCCACAGAGAAAGACAGAAATAACCTGGAGATTAAGAGAACTCCTCGAGAGGTGGGGAGAGGAGACCCCTCTCATGTTACCTCTTGGCGAATGGTCATGTTCTGCTGTGGCAGCCTTTTAGTGAAGGCGCCTGAGACATGCTCTCAACATTCGTAATGTACCCACTGATTCCCAAAGATTAGGGATCCTTGACATACACAGGACATCCCCAGCATGGAACCTGCTTGGGCCTGCAATTCCAGGGTAGACAAAGAAATTCCAGGAATTCCAGTGTTTTCCAAGGATTTGCGCTCTATTTTGTTTGCATCCATTCCTGAACCGAGAGGCCCCGCTCACGGCCACTCATGCCTCGGTTGCTTCCAGGCTGGATTTCTGCAACGGGCTCTATGTGGGCTGCCCTTGAAGATGACTCAGAAGCTGCAACTGGTCCAGAATGCAGAAGCCCAGGTTGGAATGGGGCACCATTCTAGGACACACCACTGCTCTGTGTGCTGCATCGGCTCCTGGTAGGCTTCTGGGTACAACTCAAGGTGCTGGCTATCACCTACAAAACCCTTCATGACACAGGGCTGAGTTATCTGTAGGAACTACCTATCTCCAATTATTTCTGCCTGCCTGTAAGGAGCCATGGAAGGCACCCAGGAGCATCCAGAAGGCGGTGGGAAGGGAAAACACAGATTTGCAAGAGTCTACTACTGAAGGCTGTCTCAGTAGAGTTCTAGTCTTCCTGTGAAGTCCAGTTCCTGGTCTGTCTACCTTGCAGGACTGGCACCAGCCCTCCTGGTCATGCAAGATGGTCATGCTCCAGGTCCCTTCACTGGGGCAGGGCCATCTGATGGGACCTCGAAGCTGTGCCTTCTCTGTGGTTGTGACCACCCCCAAATCAGGACCCTGTTAGCCTTTTGCAAAGCTTCGAAGACTGGTTCCCCCCCCCCGAACTTGTGCTTCTGAGAGTCAATGTTCTTCCCATATTGTGTGTGTGTGTGTTACTGTGCTTTATTATTATTTTATTGTTTTGGAGTTTTATTGATGGATGCCACCCCAATTCATAATTACCCATTGCACAGCCTTACACGTTCCATTAATTCCTAACGTTTTAAATCAAATTCATTCATTCATTCGACTGTTAAATTCATTCACATAACGAAGCGCCATCGTGAATGACATTTCCAAGGGCAGCCCCGGCTGCAAGCAGCCGGGCGGGACGCAGCTGGCCTCTACTCACCGACGTCCCGTTCTGACATTCCGCAAATCGGCTGTGATGGGGTGTCAGGAGGAGGGAGGCTAAGGAGTGCCCGGCTGGCATCAGCCGAAAGGAAAAGCCTCTTTCTCATCCAGAGATGGCCGGAAACAGCTTAAAACGACAGTCGCTTGAAGCTTGAAGGTGTTTGGCAATTCTGAGCAAAGGTGTGCCACGCCAGCATCGGTACAAAGCCAACGTGTTTTGCTCATTCAAACGGTGCAGGAAATAGCTTAGGGCAGGGACCCAGTTGCACCCTAACCACAGCCCCACTGTGTCCTGGCAATATTCTTCTTTAGCTGTATCCCCACAAAGTTGCCTTCCTCTCCTCCCCAGCCCTGGCATGAGATGGGCTTACTTCGTCCTTGGCTGGAGCGGCTTTCATGCTGTCTTTTCCCCTTTGCTCGGAAGCCCAGGGTGGCCTTGTCGCGGGCAAAGCTTGTGAGGCTGCATTGCACCCATTCCCTTGGAGGGAAGAGCGGGGACTGCAGAGATGGACTGCAAGAGAAGCCGTTGGGGAATCAGAAACGCCCGTCTAGCTTTCTGCAAACTCGATGGTGACTCGGTCTCAGGAGTGGGACAAACTGTCTAACAAGCAATGACATTCTGACACTGGAAGAAATGTTGCCTGGGTCTTTAGAGAGAGAGGTTAAAATATAATGGTCCTTATAACTGCTGTGAAGAATATCAGAAGCTACTTTTTTATATCTTTCTATTTTCTTTCTATTTCTTTCTATTTCTTTCTATTTTCCTGTTGCACTTTTAGCTGTTATTTTTCTCTTTCTTTTTCGTTTTCTCTGTTCTCATGTAGTCTGTATTAGTTCTTATTATTGCTCTTAAAACTTTTAATAAAAGTCACACATATATATGTATATCTCAATGAATGAATGAATGAATGAACGAACGAACGAACGACAGAAATGTTGCCCAGGGGAGCCAAGGCATGCCCCACCCAAATCAATGCAAACATAATGTCTTGGAGCTCCATTTTTTGATCTGCTGTCTTTTGCACACCAGCTCCATCTCTGACCCTTATAAAAAGGAATAACAAGCAAAGATGGAGGTCCTATTATCCTTGGATTTACACCCCACTTTTATGTCCGTGCAATTCAAGGTGGCATGCTTAAGGCTCCCGCCTCCTGTTTTCTCCACAAGAACAACCCCGTGAGGTGGGTCAGGTCTGCGAGACAGCAGCAGTCACCGAGTCAAAGGCTTTCAGCTTTAAGGGCAGACTAAAACTCAGAGTCCCCCAGTTTGTAACCCTTCCCTACTACGCCCAACTGGCTCTCTCTTTCAATCATGCATTGAGCAAAACTAAAATGGGGGACGAGGGATCTTGTAGTTCAATAGGTTGTGGGAACTCAGCCTTTGTCCCAGCATGTCAGAAGAATCAAGCAAGCATACTGGCCTTCTTACGATTCACGGTCTTGTGAATGCAGCAATTGTTCACCTGGGTTTAAGGCATATTGCTTTCTTTCATTTCTCACCTGCTCAAGGCAGCCTTAACAGGACGTCTCCCTTCAGTTTATTTGCACTATCCTTCCATGATTAGGTTACTTTAGTTTCTCCCGTGGCCCAATTGGAGTTTTTTTTTTTTTTTTTAAGTTTCCACTAACGTTTCTGCGCACATTTTGCCCCATATTTTTGTTTGAAGGTTTGCCTAACATATACAGCGGCTGCAAATTATTATTCCTCCACTTTTTTTTCCATCTTATTCTCATAAATGTATGCACGTTTTGTGCACGTCCACCTTGCACAAATAAGTAGACTTATTTTTCTTTTCTCCCTCTCTTTGGGATTGGCAAAGTACAGGGGCAATTTTAGAGAAATCCTATTCTGAAGGATGTTGACACCTCGTGGACTGGGTTCAAAGTGCAAAATTAGTTCTTTTTGCATTCCAGCACAAATTAAGCCAATTCCTCTTTGATTCTACTAGATCAGTGTTGTCCAAACTTGGCCACTTTAAGATGAGTGGACTTCAACTCCCAGA